GTGTGGACCGCTTTTAGGGAGACTGCCTCTTAAAAGCCGCTTAGCCAGTTGTTCCTAATCTAGCTGTTTGGACAATGTAAAAGAGACATTTAGTTAAAAGAATGAGTGGCAAAAACTTTCGAATTTCCAGAAACATTCAGGAAGTAGTAAACTTGCTTGCATAAAGTCCAGTAGTCAGCTTATGAATAAATTATAGTCTTCATTTATATTTAGAAGCTCGGGAAAAAAATCAGTCCGCTAAAAAGTGATGACGAGTGTCTCGCTGTCGATGATAAAGAGAAAGCTAACTTATTAAATTGCTTCTTCTCCACTGTTGGAATGAATCTAGCAGACACCATTAAGCCACAGCACCAGGGACTAACCACCACAAAATCTAAGCCTGTCCCATGTATATATGATGCACGAGTGTCATACGGTGAAGTCGCGAAGAAACGTCTTCACTTTGAAGACAAATAAAGCCACTGGCCCTGACGGTATTTCCGATCTATTTCGCCACGGTTACTTGGAGCTGCTGGAACATTTATTGCTGTGCCGCTGACTAACCTATATCTACGTAGATTGGAAGAAGCCAAAGTTTATGGTGACTGGAAGGTAGCCATATTTAAGAACGACGACGAGTCAGATAGAGGAAATTATCGCCCATTGTCTATGCTAGGCGTACCAAGCAAAATCCTACAGTCTTGTGTCACCGACTCTATTGTAGATCACGTCTTCACTTGCAATCAGCTGGTAACTGAATATCAGTGGGCCTACCGTAAGGGCCACTCTACAAACGTACTATTCGCACACTTAACAGAGACCTGGAAACACGCCCTAGACTCCAACCTTGTCGTTGGCGTATTATTTATTGACTTCCACACATCGTTTGATAGCATTTCTCACAAAATTTTAATGCACAAACTTGAGAATAATTACTGGATCAAGGGGAACCTACTCGACTGGGTAAGAGACTATTTGAGTGAAAGAAAACAATACACCGTTGTAAATGGAGAACTTTCAGACCAAGCTTACCTAACCTCCGGCGTCTCTCAAGGCTCCGTGTTGGGACCAACACGGAGCCTTGTACACTGGCGATCTATCGGAGGCTGTTAATTCTGCATCTCTCTACATGTACGCTTACGACACGACCATCTATTGTATAGGTGAGTCACTGGACTCCGTCTCTAACATGCTTAATAATACACTAAAGAAATAAGAGGATTGCAGTTCAAAGAACCACCTGGTACCTAACCCTAAAAAGTGTAGAGCAATGATGCTACTACGAGGCAGTTTTACTGGCCCGCTCAAAGCTCTCACACTGTGCAACCACACGATAAAATGGGTGAACTACGCACGATTGTTACACGTTACTATCGATAACAAACTTACATGGTCTCAACATATTTTTGAAGTGAAGGAAAATTTTGTTAACAAATTAAACTTGCTAAAGCGTATTTCTTTTTTACCACGTTATGTACTCCTAGACGTATATTTTAAGATAATCGTACCCTCTGTATCCTATGTGCTGCCGATATGGGGAAGTCTTACCAAAGAAGATGGGTTCCTTGCCCTGGAATCACTACACTGTAGAGCTGCTAAGTGAATATACGCGGCCTTACGCGAGATATGCCTACTGTAGAAGTATTGAGGATAGCCCGTGGGATTCTTTACACTTTATGTACAAAGTTAACTTGGCACCATTGGCATATAAGATCTCTTATGATTGCACTCCTCCCTCCATGGGGCATATATTAACCAAGAAGACTTCTCCAATGCATTACTTACTAACTAAGAATAAGGTTAAAGTGCCACGCTTGACATATATTTCATGATAAATTCAATTGCACACGGATTATCTATTGTGTGGAACCTTCTTACTCCTGACATTGCAAAAACATCCAACGTTAAAAATACACTAGAATGGCCTCAAAATCTGACAACCTACGTTATTTAGATTTTCGGGCTGAATCTCCATAAACAATGCCTCACAATGATAACGATTATTTTTTATTTTATTAAGACGATTTTAATATACTTTTATTGCTTAAATTTTAGTTATATATGCAAATAAGTGGCAACGCTTTAATCACCGTCATGTTGAAATAAAAGTTATTGCATTGTATTATTGTTCCACGATTTCCTCTTAGGGCCTGTTTACATGGAGGTGGGAAACCCTACGTAGGTGAGGTAACCCTCTTGGGTGGGTAACCCGCCCGTCCACATAATCTCTCATTTTTTATTTGATCACGTTTACATGATAGGTGGGGTGACCCGCCGCTTGTTACCTCACCTATCTGGGGTCCCCCACCTCCATGTAAACAGGCCCTTAAAGATATTTGTGAAGGCAAACATCCAAAGTTTACGAAACGAGAACAGCAAAAAAAGGCAATAGGTTTGGATTAGCAAAACAACAACTTTGCAGGAGCATCACGCTTTTTTGTACATTTCTTTGCCGTCACTTCACGATTACGACGTGAAAATGCCTAATTTCACGTATTATGAGGACGTGAACAGAAGACAACGACTCTCTTTTTTTTTCCTTTACTTTGATACAGTCCTTTAGAATTGAACTCCGGAAAAATTTGCCAACTTTTGACGTATTGAACGAGATGGAATAGGTGTGATGCGAATTCACTTTTTAAGTGACGTTTTCGTAGCCGTCGCCGTCGTAATTGCTTAAAAAATCTCCCTAATGTTCCATCAATGCAGCCGTCGCTTATTGCCCTAAATAGAGAGCTTTAGCATCGACGACGGTAACGGCAGCGAAACCTAAGTTTTAAAATGAATTCCCATTTTTTTCAATCTTTGTCGCGTTTATTCCAATTTGCTGAAAATGGCAAGTGTAGGTGAATTTCCCTGGAGTTGATTTCTTGAGGACCGCACTCAAGTTTAGAGAGAGAGAAAGAGATTCGTCGTCGCTTGTTTACGTCTTCCATAAAACTTGCAATTAGGCATTTTCACGTGGTAGTCGTGCAGGGACGGTAAAGAAATGTACAAAAACGCGTGATGCACGTGCAAAGTTGTTGTTTTGCATAATAAACCTATTGCTTTATTGACATCCTCGTTGCCGTCGCAGTCGTCGTTGCTAAGACCCTGTTTACATGGAGTGGGGGACCCCGGTCTAGTGGGGTAGGTTTCTTTTGTTTTGTGTCCTCCAGAGCGTGAAAACAAAAGAAACCAACCCCACTAGACCGGGGTCCCCCACTCCATGTAAACAGGCCCTAAAGCTCCCTAACGTGAACCAATAATTAAAAACAATAAAAACACTGGAAGTTAATTGACGAGTTTTAATGAGTATGTCGTTTAGAATTGAAAACATTTGAATATCGGAAATGAAGCTTGGCATTGTGTGAAGTGCCAAGGCAGCCCAGTTATAACATGTTTATTAATTGAATTTAGCCAGCTTGGTTTCCATAAGATCGTCGGGGTACAGTATGAGGTCCTTGGTCCGGCCGGCCCCTGGTCTGGCCAGTTTTACTTTGTGATGAAATTTTCGGGGAGAAAATAAGGTTACAATACAAACGAAACTTTCCGAGTGTTTGTTGACCTGTTTCCCTTCTTAATCTCGATTCGAGGTTTTCCTGATCCTAGGAAAGGCTGAAAAATTAAGTTAACGCGAACGTAGGTGAATTTTGTTAAGCAATTTTTGACTTTTTTATGGCGCCTTAAATTACTTGGATATACATTTTGAATTCACGCATATACGATTAAGTGCGTTAAGAAAACTTATTTTTGGCGTACATGGTGTACAAGAAATGTTCTTTCGAATTGCAAAAAAATTCGGTCGACAGGTTGAATTTTGGAACCAAAGTCGTTTTAGATAATATTCGCCGCGGAAGATAACATAAACCAGCCAAATAGGGATTGAAAATAGAGAGCCTCAGAGAGTTCAGTTTTCGTTTCGTTTAGTTCTTAGTAAATCAAGATTTATGAATTGAGGTGAGGATCTTTCAACTTTAAGTCACATTTTAAGTGAGGTGAAGCACTTTCAATGAGTGGAGTAATTAATAAAAACCGCATGCAGCGTCCAGGTTAAATATATTGCTCGAGGCTTAGGTAATGATCAAGAGAGCTATAAAAAGGAGGCTTATATCCGTCCGATTGATTACATCAGGGAGCTTAAGGAAGGTCAAAAAATTCAAGCAATGGGTTTTAACAAGCAAAACATTACTCTGCACGGACTGCACGTGCATGATAACGCACGCTTTTCGGTCGGATGTCTTTGCCGTTGCTGCACGAAATAGAGGCGGCGGAGCGTTTTGAAACGTGGGGTGGGGTGGGGGGGACTCATCTTCCACTCAGCCATACGTACACCCCTTCTCAAATTTTTCAAAATGTCCTTTGCGTTGTTCGTTGGCACAAGCAATGTTCACAGTGTCTAGTGTGTCAGTAAAAGATTTGTGGCAATGCAACATGAGGGCAGAAAATAGGCGCTCCGAAGTCACAGGTATTGTCAAATCCTTCCTTAAAGTGTCTTTCGGCACCAAAACATGGGGGACTCGCCACCCCCCCCCCTCCACCCCCCCTCCTACTCTGCTGCCTACTACTTAGACTTCAATTCTATCGAGGCGATTGCAATCGCTCCAAAGATAGTCGCCGTCGCCGAAACACCAACAGAGTTCGCGATTTAGACGATTTAGTATGAAAAACAGGGTTATAGAGATTATAATAGCTTGTTGAATTTTTCTCTAAGTTCACTCCGTATTTTCGGTTTGTTTTTTGGCCTTTTCTGTGATCCGAGTTTGTCAGGAGATTACATCCACATTCTCGAAGAAATAGATAAGTTTGTCTACACTCTTTTGTATGCGTCAATAAAAGAAAGTAAGATCGACATAATAACAAATGTGATGATCAGGCTCAAACACGAAGCCAAAAAACACCAAAAGCTCAAAATGCACCTGGTGCAGCCATTAAGTGGTACAGCTGCATCTCACCACGAAGTGTCACGTGGAAGGTCCTGTCCAATAAGAAAAAAGGAAAGTTAATCAACTGGTTTTGATAAATGTTTCGCTTGGAAAAAAGTGCATTTCAGAACGAAACATTCGGTTGAAAGAGCTAGACCAAAGAAAACTTAAGCATGTTTAATAATAGGAGAAACCAACATTATTCATTTACTTAGTCTTACAAAAACAACCATCGATTTTTTGATTGTCTGGTTATCTTGGTCCTTTAGACATCTGAGCTCTTCGCCTGCTTTTGGAAGAGGATCAAATCCACGGCGATGGAAGAAATTGTGTGTTTGGACTCTTTAAATACAGCTTGTATTGGCCCTGTCACTACGGGTGAGAAAGGTTTGAATTCTGATGTTGAATAGCAAGTAACTGTCCTTGACCATGATCCATGATGTGTAGTAATTGTCGAATATGTTATTTATGCTAAAAGTACAATGCTTATGACCGGCGGGGAAGGCGTTGTTCTAGACCGGACGTTACTACTTTCAGAGAAATGAACTAGCATGCCAACAAACTTTGGAAACAAAGTTTATAAGTATGCCATATTTACGATCGCTGTTTCCTTTTTTCAAAAACCATCTTTTTTGTTGTTCTACCGTTTTTAATATGACAATTTTTGCCTTGAAGAGAAGAAGCTAGAAGAACATTCTGTTTTTCATCTCCGCTTAATCATATTTGTCAAGGAATTCTTGCCATATTAAATAAGCTTCTGGTTTTGTGTGGTAACTGCTGGCATTTCATTTACGATATTTTTTTATCTACAAATTTTAAAATATAGGAAAACTTTTTTGCCATGAAAATAAAATATGTCATCAAAAATGTTTAATATGTTCAGTATTGACAACATGGCATTATTAGTTATTGAAATTTAAGTTATTGAAAATTATCATAGGTCTTAGCGCACCTTAAAAAGACAATTAAAATTGGTGACAAATTTTAAAACGAACACATCTGTTGAAAGCGACTCGGTGTAAAGTGTAATTACTTAAAAGCACAGTTATCCATGTAGCAGCGACGCAGCGATCTTCACTGAGCCAACCAGACACTGAAGAAAAGACAGAATATATTTTGTAGATTCAAAAATTCAAAAACCTCGGAAAAACTGGCAGACTTAATATTCATTAACGTGACGCTTTCTTGTTTAATCTTAATTGCCTTAGCTCGCATAATACAACAAAATTATACACGAAAGTGCCAAGTCATATGTCTGTTGTCGGAAAAAAAAATTTCATAATAATATCATGGTTGACACATTTGACTCTCTTCTCTGAGCGCGAATTTCAGTATAACTTCACATGTGAAATTACAATATTGCTATGGCAACGTTTTTTGATCTTAGTGCCGGACTAAAGATGCTACGAATGATGGTAAACAACAAGGAGGATTCTTAACGTCTTTTTGTCGAAATATTTAGGAAAATGGGACAGAAAGCCAAAACGTATGCTTTGAAAATTAAAAGCGAGAAAACAAACTTGGTATTCGAATTTCGAAGAAAACAACAAAATAAGAAAAGCCATGGAATAAGTACTATTCATATTCTGTATGCGTGCGTGTCATAGAACCTACACTTAATTAACTACTCTGATCTGCCGAGTATAGTACAGTCGATGCTGATTTTGAAACTATTGTAGATTAATTCGTAGAAAGAACACCGCAAGAGTGCCAAGTAAGACAACTAAAATCATGCCAAAAATTCGAAGAAAAGGATATGAATGATCGAAGTGTGTTTGATTCATAACTTTGTGAGTGTACGTGCGGAATTTGTCTTTAGTCTAATATCGATTCTGATGAGGCTTAATTGGTCTTAAGAAATTAAGCTATTGAAGCCGAAAATGCCAAGTTCTTTTAGAAAGACAGCCGTAACCTCACTTAACTACACGCTGGGTTTTTTTTTTGACAGCACGTTATTAAATAAAGAAATAAATTTGTTGCAGGTGTTATTCTGAATTTTCCAAAATTGAAATTTATAAAATTCGCTTTGCCTTTATTACAGTATCGCGGTAGGTGTCTTCTCATGAGTGCATGGTTTTGGAGCCGTAAGACTTTCTTGGTCGGCTGTCAATAGTCGGCGTCTTGATCAAACACCTTTTTTGATAGTCTCTTGAGGGTGGTGACGTTATCATCGCGCAGAATGCCTATTGTTCTCGGGACATTTACTTCCAGTTCAACAAAGTTTGTAGATCTGTCATATCACGCGTTATTATGCGTGGACGCTATGAAAGCGCCTCAACGATTGGTTGCCCTGAACGCACTTGGTAAAAAAGTTAAACCACAGAGCGAATGATGAAATGTCGAATTATCTCTACGCAAGCGAGATCTTGATTGTGTCGTAAATAAATACACTGCGCGCCTTGAGTGTTAAGCGCGCAGAAGCCGTTAGACGCTCAGTAAAGGTCTGTAATCAGTGTGTAATGTTGTGCTTCCGTATTTGAAAGCGTTTTAGCTCTTATTCAAACCAAAACGGCTGGTACATAAGTTTACATTTCTTAACGCAGCTCAAACTGACTAATTGCTTTGCCTTAAAAAACAGAGATCAGCGATCCGAGTAGCAATCGGAAGAAAGTTCGACACACAGGCGATTCAGTGTTCTCATCTATTCCAATCTTTACAAACAAATTTTAATTTGTAGGGTGGCTGGTTGGAGTCACTGCGCGTACAGCGATAAACAGAAACCTTTCTTTGTCTAATAGGCGACATCCATTGGTGTTTTACGAACTTTAAATGCAAGCCAGCAGTATCGATCAGTATTCAAACTTCGCGCGTCGAAAGCCCTGAGCCCTTATTTTATCAGCCGATTTGCATAAACAATCTGTTTACAGATGACTGCATTTAGGTTATAACGATGAAGTTTAGCTGCTCATTGTTTATTCATGGCAACCATTGTTATACTGTAAGACAAAGACTTCACTCTGAACACGCGCGAATTTTGAGCCTCGGATTTTTAAGGGCAAAAGTCCACAACTTCTTCTGCTTAAATTTAGACGAAAAAGCTATCAATGTGTAGGGGAGATGTGCATCTTCCATAATCCGTTCTTTCGTACGGAGTTTGTCGCTTATTTGGACAAAAAAAATTTAAACTGAATTTTAATGCGGTCTTAACCCATACTAAAAACACCGAAAATACAGAGTTTTGAAAGCAAAAAGTCTGCAAGTTAATCTTGTTAAATTTTCCTGGTGTTTATGTATTGTTGAAGATTTGCCATTTAACTACAAAGAGCTATAGAATATAAGCATTTTAAAATGGCGATCGTAGTGAGTGGTCTTCGCCAAATTCGTTCATTTTCTCTCTTATTGTGGCGCTTTTGTCGGGCGTTCATGCTTGATTAGCCTGCTGCTGTAAAACATTATTATGCGTAAATGTCCAGCCATTCTGCCCGATGCGGAATGATCATCGGACTGAACATCGGATTCGTAATCGAATTCTTAATCGCAGTCGTAAGCGTAGTCTGTGATAACCTCGACGAAACCTTCTTACGATCGAGTGAAAATCTGTTTTTCGTAGACCAAATTAAAGGCGGAGAAATAAGCAGTCTCAATACTTATTTTCACACGTTGTGTTTAATTAGTTTGTTGTTCTGGTTAAGCTGGTGACCTCGAACTCTTGTTCCGTCGCTAGTGAAACAAGCCTTTAGAAATTTTTATCACACCACCCAACGTTGTTTCAAAATCCTTTCTCTACCTTCACACTTATAAAATGACCTTTAGAGCATGCGCTGCAAGTTGGCAGGATACAGTTTGGAACCCAGCCTTATAGCCGGGTGCTTGGTACAGCGGGGGCAGTTTATCACCATCGGCTTATCAATAAAAGGATGGTCGCTCTCGAAAATCCAGTTTAACGAGAGAAAACAAGAAATTCGGGCGGCGGCGACTTCAAAGGCTTGACGCGATTCAGGCATGCGCAGAGCTTCTTTTTCTCCCCATCGATGATCAATACAAAGACAAAAGGAAACTCTGTTTGCAAGGTGATTTTCCTAGGCATTAATATAAGCAGAGCTGAAAAACAGTATTTTTAAACTTCTGGTTCAATTACTGTACGCGTCCCTGATAGTGTGTTAAAAACAACAATATTTTTCAGTTTGATATTTTAAAGACTTATTCATTCCCCAGCCAAGGTTATTATTTAATGATAATAACAATCACAACAATTGTGAAATTATTATTATTAATATTATTGTTACAAATATAAGAATATTATTGTAACTTTATGACCCTTCTTTTAACAAACAATTTTTGCTTGAAACTGGCTTTGTTGTATTTGAAACTAGTTATCAATCGAAATGATTGTGAATGGTTTTTATTATAGTTTTGTTGTCAAATTAAATATTTGCACTAATTAAAAATTATTATTAATAATAATATTATTATTATTATTATTATTATTATTGTTATTATTTGACTCAGAATTTAAGCAAGGGGAGGGGTATTGAAGCCCGACAGTGCCTTCCATCTACCCTCGAGACCAGCCTCTGCCGGCAGCATGCAGCAGCCGGGAAAATGATATTTTCCATTTTTCAATTATGAATCTGCCTTTTTCAATAAAGCTCTTCCAAGACCGTGGGGTAGGAACAAGATCATATGTGTTATTATTACTATTATTATTGTTATCATTATCATTATCATTATCATTATCATTATCATTATCATTATCATTATCATTATCGTTATCGTTATCGTTATCGTTATCGTTATCGTTATCATTATCATTATCATTATCATTATTATTATTATTATTATTTTGTTTTTCATTTTTATTAAAATATTATCATTAGAATTATTATATTATCATCATCATTATCGTTAGCGCTATTGCTATCGTCATCATTAAAGTTTTACTATCAAAGATATTTCGTTTATTTTACAACAGATTCATTGGCTCGAAAGACGAAAACGAAAGAAGAAAACAAAGAAGGTGAAAATTTTATTTCAAATCTTCAGACAAAGTAATGTTGAAGGTACTAATGTAGGGTTAGCGGCGGAAAAGTCTGCATGTCGATATAGTCATTTTCACGGCCAATCAGCAGAGATTACACATCACAGATCTACCTCATTCCCTTTCCTAGCAAAAGAATTTTGTTGTATAACTTCTCTTACGTAACGGTATTTCGTATATATTTTAAAATTTGTATATCTTTACGAACTTAGAAACAGAAAAAAGACTTGACGACGTTTTAAGAGAAGGCGACTATCAATCTATTGAAGAACACGTCACTCCAAAAACACTTACAAGCTGTAAGACAAACACTCTTATCAAAGCGTTTGAGGTAAGTCGTAAAGTATGAACCGTTTCTAACCCCGTTTAAATTATCCTCGCTGTTTGCCATTATCATGGGCTTAAAATTACCAAGCTACCTCCCTACTCACTTAGGCCATATTCACACTATACTGTGTACCTCTTACGCCGACACGAACACCATACTGGGTACTCGAAGGCCTACTTTGGGACCTAAAGTCGCCTAAAGTCGCCCAAAATCGCCTTAAGTCGCCTAAAATCGCCTTAAGTCGCCTAAAGACGCCTTGGGTCGTCTTTAGTTGCCTTAAGTCACTAAATCATTCAAATCTTAACGAGGTTCAAATTGTCTTGTAGTTATTACTTTTTTAGTTTTCTATTTCCAGAATGCATGATTTCTCATAAAGTGTGTAAAAACCCGTGGTATGGTTATGTATGCTAATGCATGAATTTAAAACAAAGGAAAACCAAAAATTAACTGAAATTAAAAATTAACTGCAACATATTCACTAACATGTAACTCACCTAAATGTCACCTTTTTCTCCTTAAGGCGCCTAAAGTCGCCTTAAATCGCCTTACGTCGCGCAACATTTTGACCAAATTTTCCTAAAGTCGCCTAAAATTACGGCTACTTAAGGTCCCAGAGTAGGCCTACTCGAGGCTTCTGCTTACGGTGATTACGGCTCGATTTCTGTGACGAAGCGAAGGCCGCACCGATCTAGAAAGTGGAGCGTTACTTATCGGATAGGTTCTGTGCCACACTTGTGTGGTGTAGTGTGATCAGGTATTCGGAACGTAGCGGAATTTAATAAAGGAAAGAGGACTTCAACCCATTAGTATAATATTCTGGAGCGAAGGTTGGGATTTAGTTTACGAAACCCTCTCTGCCAAACACGATACTCGATGTGTGTGAACAACTTGTTCCAGTTCTGAGTTTTTGCTGTTCATACTATAGAGTAAAACCCCGCGTATAAGAACCTGGGTTTTAAGAACCTGTTACAAGAAGAACCCGTGTTGGGCTAAAATTTTCATTTTAACCCTCCTCCACATAGGAACCTATTAAGGCTAAAATTTTAAGTTAGGTTCTTATCAGTGGAGTTGCTGTAAAAGTGTATCAACTTTGAAAAGGCATTTCAAATGAAATATCAGATGATATTTATAATATACTTAAATGAAATTCATATGAAAATATAAGAACTTATTTTAAGAACCTTGGTAGTCTAAATTTGCTTCAAGCACCATTTATATAAGAACCAGTTAACGCTAAATTAAAAAGTCCAGGTTCTTATTCGTGGGTGTTATTGTTCAGTACACCGAAATTTTTAGGGAGTTATTATAACTCCAAAAATGGAGTAAAAATTTTGAGTACAGGATAACCCCTTTTTGGGGGTTATTTTAACTCCTAATTTAACTCCGAATCTGGGGTCATTTTTACTCCCGAAAAAGAGTTCTTTTTACTCCCAGTCTGGAGTTAAAATAACTCCGAAATGGGGTTACTTTTACTCCTTATACATGGGTTGTTTTTACTCTTTTTGAAGTTAACTTAATTCTGAAAGTGGCGTAAAAATTTTAGGTACAGGATAACTCCTTTTTGGGGATTATTTTAACTCCTCAATATCTGGGGTCACCTTTACTCCTGAAAAAGAGTTCTATAAACTCCTTTTTGGTGTCCAAATAACTCCACTGTAAGGAGTTAAATTAGCTCCACTAGAGGAGTTATTATAATTCCTTGAAAATTACTGTGTACCTGATAGCTTTTCGTGTCGGCACCAAACGCTATCCGCTACAGTGTGAACATAGCAAGCCTTAAACTCATTCTAAACTTCTTGATGTATGTTTTCTCAAGGTGAATAAAACACTCAGGGATTTAGTAAAAAGTGCGGTTAACCCCGAAACAGACGAAATGGAGACGCTGTCTACGTTATTAGATGAATTCACTTGCGCTTTGGTCGACCCGCTAAGAACCGACAGTGACACAAGAAATACGTTTAAAAGCTGTTTCGATTATGTGGTGAATAAAGCTATTGATACAGAGCAGAAGAAGGTATGATAAATATTGACAAAAATACTGGCTCAGAGTAAAGAGTTTTGCGGAACAAAATTTTGACGTTACCGGTAACCAGTATAACTTCATGCAACTTCCTCGGCCATATGAGCTTATCGGTCACATTATCGTCCTTTCTAAAGTACTTTGTCAGTGTAGTACTTCCTGGTTTAGTGTTGGATCAAGGTATAACCTGCATCATTGAATAACGTACACAACATAAGTGTCGGATCCTGGTGTTAATAGCCCAGCACACTTTACTCACTGACAAAAACAGTGAAGAAAAGCTGACTGTATAGAACGTGTGACGTCATGTGGAAATTATCGATATCGATAAGGGAATTGACTATAATTGACTCAAAGTAGCTTAAGATATTTGGCGTTCATTATTTGTTCCATCCGTTTGCTTGATACTGGTGACTGAACTGAGTGGAGTACAATTTGGTCTGAAATCATACGCGCGATTTTAAAATCGGACAAGCGCGCAGTGCGAGTTCGATTTGAAACCACAAGTATGATTTCAGACCAAAAGTGTACGACAAGAAATTCAAGTACCAAAATATTACAGCCATTTTGAAATCGCAGAATTCAGCGGTCAGTACCAATATTTATTTGACAAAGTAGCCGGTTTGTTGAAAAGCGGAAACAAAAAAAGACTTTTACATCTCATTTTGTACCCGGAACAGAAATGATGCAATATAGAGTGGAAATCTTTCGATTTAAAATAGAAATAACGTGATTTTGAACATGAATGACGCGATTTAGGACAGAGGTGATTTAGAGCAAAGTAGTGCGAATCACACGGCCGCGAGCCAATCAGATTACAGGGATCACCAGTGATTTCAAAATGGATATAATAAATATACTACATAATTTAGGCTGCTTCTCCGAGTCAGTCATTTTTAACAATATTGACTGGTTAGCTCAGTTGTTTGAGTACCGGTGGGGCTCCTGGTACCAGACATAGGTTTGGGAGACACAGAATGACCATACCAACTCAGGGCTATATAGCCTGGGACCAGGCTCCGAATTGGGGCAAAAAGGAAAAAAATAATCGGCGAGCGAAGCGAGCTTAGAGGTAGTCTGGGGAGGGGAAAGGGTGGCGGAGCCTCCGCCGCTATTTCCCCCTTCCCAGACAACCGTTGGGCTCGCTTCGCTCCCCGATATTTTTCCTATATTTGTTTTTTGCCTTTTGCCACTGCGGAGCCTGGTTCCAGGCTAAGGGTCACGAAAATATCTAAGCAGAAGGTTTTGCCTTTCACATCTGCCAATGATTAACTCCTTTTGGTCTTCTCGGATATAAACGAAAACCTTCTAAAAACCAAAAAAACGCTCTTAAATTGAGCGTCAATATCATAAGAACGAAAGTGCTAATTGAGAACACTTTTTTTATGTCTCCTACTGGAAACACCGGGTCTAGGGATGGAAGTCAAAGGATAAGTTTCTGAGATAACATCCAAACGAAGTGCTATTTTGACAGGACTGTCCCTTAAACTTGTTGCTTGTTTACCTTCTGTTTTGCCAGTTTGTCTCTCATCCCGTGGTTTTTAACTTGATGACTTCAAAGTATTACCGCTCATTTACTTCAGAGCGGAAGAAGCCTTGGACAAGCCTCAAACGCTGGGGATATTTGTTTCTTAACGTCTGGACCGTGCTTGACATGTTCTTCTTTCCTCTTTTCTTTGCTCTGTTCTCTGTTGTCCATTTTGTTAACAAGAAGTTAAGAAAGACCACAGGTTAGTAACCAAATCATAGTTCGAGACCTAAGGGGTAGCTATTCGAGAAGAAATATTCTGCTTGCGATTCGCCAGGACACATCTACTGCGATCAGAAGCAAATTCGAATGTTTGGGGAACCACAAGGCGCAGATCCACGAAAGTTTCAACCGTTTTACGGAAATCGGTCAGTTTTCTCATAATGAATATCTGACTGGATTTGTAAAATACGGCTATAGAAATTTCTCTCATATCCCTTCACCGATTGGTGGAGCATGTTTTTCTTTTTTGTTGTTGTTGTTTTTTTTTTTTTTTTGATTGTTAGTTTTTATTATTTATTTTTTTATTTACCGGATATTTGCTGAATACACTGCAGTAGATGGACTGTCATGAATTTCTCACTGGCTATTAACCTACCCCTCCCTCCCCCAAAAAAATGCTTTTCATAACTTCCCATAATTCTCTCTGCATGTCAGTTTGAAATCATAGCGCGTATAGAGACTGAAGTCGACTCTCGTGGTGGGTTGTCTTAGAGTTTTTTTGGCTGGCTTGAGCAAGGTTTTCGGAAGGCATCATTAAGCCTGTGAATAAACAAGTCTCACGATTGGCAAAGTCTGCTGCGTCCAATATCTTCTCGTATTTCGTCTCATTTGGCTACACGGGTGAAAGACTGATCCCGGGCTTGAGACGGAAAGATTGGATATTGCGAGCTTTGTTGTTGGCAGTAAAACGTCTTTGGCCTCACAAAGTTGGTTCTAGAGGTGAAATCTATTCAGCTAGATGGAAATTGATGCTGATGTCTGACCGGGCCAAAGACTTAGTTTTAAAATTTTTGAAGGCAAGGGCTCTTCTCTTCAGCCGCTGGTTTACATCCGGGATCTTGAATAAATTGTGTGAGTCGGGAAAAGTTTCCATGCCACGATTTATGTGGAGAAAGCGGGAGTTTATCGGAGTAATTTGACAATGTTTCGCCCGTGTTAAATGTGGAAATATTATGAGTGGTTTTCGGAAGTGTTGTGATTGCCACGAAAGTCATTTATTGTGTGATTTATCGAAGACGTTGACAAACAAAGCTCAGGTATGCTGTTGAGCTCGTGTTACCAGTGAAACCTGTATTAAGCGGACACCCTCGGGGAATGCTGTAGTGTCCGCTTAATACAGGGTGTCCGCCTAATACAGGTTTCGATATATAACGTCATATGAGGTGCCAAATGCCATTCAAATGAACAGTGGAAGCGTTTATAATACTCCCAGAGACTGTGAAGATAGACATTTGCATTAATTTCTTTATCAAAGTGAACCAATTGATCATAGTACCATAAATCGACTTCGTGAGTGTTTAGTATAGATGGTTTTAATTTTGTCTTAGAAAGCCTATTCCGTGCTCAAAGGTCGGCAGACACTTAGCTATGGGCCTCATGGTTTGACTGACTAAAAGGTTATAATTTCTGGACGTTTCAAATGTTGCCTGTTTCGCAAAATCCTGTAACTTCTGCGAGAGAAATTTACCGTCTGTTGCCAGCAATAAAGTTGTCATTGTTAAGCCTTAGCTAGTGACTTTCAAATGCTTTAAATTCGACTTAGATGTCAAATTGTTAAAATGCCCTTGAAATTTATTTAGCCACGTTTCAGCGAAACTAGACATATAATTTTCAATTAAAAAAATTTTTCCATGTTGACATATGAAAAATGGTTTCAACAGTCAGTAAATATCCTGTCCGAATTACTCAGAAACCCAGGAAAAGCGACTTTTGGCAGTCAAAATCGAAAAATTTTCCCGGGGAAGCATGCCTCAGCACACCACTAGAAGCTTACGCTTTCGGTGCTTGTTTAGGAAATCGGTCAGTATTTATCCTAGATCAGTGCCCGAATATTTCGGTAAGAGTAGGTCAGCTCAAGAGCCCTTCCCTCTTTTGAAGGAGTCTTTACTATAAATTTTCTCGTATTACTTTAAAACCTTAAAAACACATTGGAATCAAGGAAAATTCTGAAATAATTAATGATTAAGTTTTATTTTAAATTGCTCTGCTACTATACTTCAAATATAAGTTTAACATGTCTTTGGCTTTCGATGGTCAAGATGGAAATGATTGCACAACTTGAAAAAATTGGGCCAATTTTTTCCCCTTTTTACTCCTGTGTTGTCGAAAAATTACCAAAAACTAATAATGCCTTATGTACCCTTGATAAAAATCACTTGATAGCTTTCTTTTAGAGATCCAAGTTTGAGAAAGAATATCTGAGAATACTTGTCTATAATTTCAGCTCAGCTTTGACCAAACAATGTTGAACTCATGACGATATAGCCCCTTTATAAAATAAAACTTTGCAAAGATTTCGTTGGGAGAAATCCCGCCCCAGTCAGCTCCTCTTGGACGCGGTTCCTCGAAAGATCGTTAAATTTTAACCCAGGATTAAGCCAAATTTTAAGTAAGGTTTTCTTCTCTAAAATACTGTTGAGCCTTTGCTGCGAGCTACGTTAATGATAGCACAAAATGTTACTCTAAACAATACATAGGAAGGTAAAATCCAAAAATGGAACAAAATTTTAATCCTAGATTAGCGCTAATAGACTATCAGGAACCGGGCTCTGGTCCTTAAAAGCCTGGAGTTTGTCACCCACGTTAATTCTTAAATTCATTTCCATTTTGATTTTTATTTTGTAACGAAAGAATTTTTGTTTATCTTGTTTCGGTTGACGCGCTCCATTTGTTTTAGAAACAAAGTTTGTACTGTTGTTTCTTTACAGAAACTGAAATATGCTTCCTTGTGGCGATGACCAAAGATCTCAAAGATGCCATGCGTACTGAAGAAGTCTTTAACTTGATTAAGAAGACAATCAGCTACACGATCCACGAACATGGCTTCCACTTTACTAAATACAGTTTTATTCTTCGTGAAGAGGACAACGCCCTCCATGCTATCAACAGTGAAAATGCAGTACTTGACAGGGTGGAATCATTACAGAAATCAGACTGTCCCCCTCGGCTCTATGAAGACCTCTGTGAGGCTTGTGATGCCTTCAAAAGCGCAGGTGATCCTCTCGCAACAAAAAAGGTGAGGTGAAAACATAAGGTCAGAAGATTCACTTAATTTTGAACCGGGGGGATTACTCCCCCATATAAGTTATATAGGTATTTGCCGCCCCATCGGGTAGGGTTTCTGCGCCTTTTTGGTCTGAAAACAAGTATTAATAGATTTTGCCCATTTTGGTCTGGAATCGGGTATAAAGTGAAATGTGCGAATTCTAATTAAATGGATTTGAAGAACGTTTTTTGTTTGCTCGCTAATTTAAGTGATAATGACATAATTTCTGCCAAAAGTTCAGGTCTGAAAACGGGAGTAGAAAATGATGTTTTTTGGTCTGAAATAGGGTCAGGGTTTGAAGAACCGGGCGGCACTCCCCACCAAGAATTCCCAGGAGTACCCCGCCGGGATTTTAAAACATTTCAAATCATTTCGAAAACACACTGAGACAGCTCACCACGAATCGAGACAAATGTTCAAAACTTGTAGTGACTTAGATTAACTTAGAGTACCATAAAAACAACCCTAGTGTCGAAATAAATAAAGCGCACACGAGAAAGGAAAAACTATCATAGAGCTATTCATGTACTGCCGAACTATTTCGCTTGAATAGTCCCACTGAGGATGTTGTCCACAGACTCGCTTTTTAAAAAAAGAGAAAGGCAGAATATTAAATGTCTCAGTAAAAATAAAATCATAAATTGAGATAATAGGTCACATGGTCTCACATGGGAGAAACAAAAACCCGGTACACGCACATTTTAATGATGTGCTCGGGATACTGTACATAATACACTAACAGAAGATAGGCAAGTCAATAAGTAGAATCCGTTGTTTCCTGACCATGTGCCCTTTTCAAAAGAAATATATTTGTTCTTAGAGGGTTGATTGATAAAGGGGAATCAGATATAAACGGAATGTCTTTCAACCTGAGATCAGGCGGAATTTTAGCCACTCTCATACGCCCTCTGTTACCTTGCCGTTGGAATCTCCTTTACTTAAACCTGATCTCTGGTTATATTTTTCGGCTGAGAAATTTTTTTGGCCTGAGATTCTTTGACACCTACGTACTCGAAGCCTTCTTTTGCTGAGTTAGACAACAGTAGTGTGCGTTACGTTTTCCTAATTGTAATTTATATTTGTCTTCCTGTTTTAGATACTTGTGGTCTTCACAAATGACACACTAAGTAAAGTTTGTCCTGGGAATCCAAATCTCAGTGATGTTGTCTGTGAGTTAAATGAGAAGTTGAGTGTCAAAATTGTCCCCATTGGCATTGGAGAGAGGGTCAACCCATCAGAACTTAGAAAGATTTCCGGAAAAAATACAACCACCGCTCACTTTGGAGAATACGAGGCACCGAAAACATTAGGAAAAACTATTATACACGGTAAAAATATTTTTCTCAATTCCTCTTTCCCAATTTATAAGTAAATAATGGAAGTCCGTTATCTGACATTCCACAAAAAGGATTGTCCTTTTTATTAGGAATCACATTACTGCAACCAAATTGCTTTGGAGAGTAGAATTCATTAAGCATTTTAAAGGCCTGTCAACCAAGTTGCATGGAAGTGCTACTTCTAAATCGTAATTTATTTATTTTTGATTTATTTTCTGGTTTATTTATCCAACAACCGTGCAATAACTCATAAACAGTTCTTGCTCGAGATGATTTTGCATCGACGAAAAATCTCTCATCAGCACGTTAAAAAACGTCTTACAGGAAACAGCACACGCAGTAAACTAGCTTGAAAAAATTATGGGTCACCTGGCTATCCCAGTTTGCCCCTCGCCTTTTGTATGTTATTAAGCTTCTCTATCAATTAACCCGTTAGTTCCTAAGATCAAAATTTGAATTCTCATTTGCTGCCGCTATTCATTTCCCACAAACGCAGTGGGGAGAAGTTGATAAAATATCACGAAAATTCATCTTGTGTGATCATGTCTTTATTTCTTATGACCAATCTGTTTTACAAAGCATTGATATTACAAGGAGAAATTTGATGCTGAGCAATCTTAGAGCTCAAAGGGTTAAACTTCCTCTACGGAGACATAACATGAGATATAATGAATCTGATCTGTGGTTTTCCCCATGACAGGAGCTGATGGAAAGGACATCTATGGTAGGAATTACTACTGTTTCTATAAGCTTCAAATAGAATGTCAGATCAGATGGCCTGTTTTTCTTAGTGCATGCCAGAAGCCCTTTAACAACCTTTTATGAAGAGAGTTACGTCCTTTATTATTATGGGTTTAATTTCTGTCGCCAGTCAAAGGTCTAGCTGCTTGTTGTTCTGTTAGTACACAGGCGGCCCAAGCTCACTACAGGAACGCGGACGTGAGTCTTGCTTGCGAGCGGTGTTGTGTTACAAACGGTTATTTACAAGGGCTTGTATGGGATGTAAACGGTTTTTCTTAAAAGAGAGAAAAAATGTTATTTTTTAAATGCAATCGACTTACCTTATTGTCTTGTTGTATTCTTTGTTGTTTGCCCGCGTCTCAGGCCGTTTTGAAGCGTTTTCGGCAAGTTAGCGCTATTTTGGTGATCCACTGCTAAGAGAAAGACAAGGCAGAACAGTGATTTCCGGAGTGTCCGTCGCTCGAGGCGAATAATTCTGCTGGAAAATTACCCCCGGCCTCAATTCCTCCAGGAATTCAAAGCAGAGATGTTGCAGTTCCATGTCCATTCAGTCGATTCGCAATTTCTCCCACAGATCGTTCACTAGTGATGCTTTTATCTCTTGCTCGATCGGCTTCCAAGTTTCGTACTAGGCTCTTCTAAACTGCCGTGGACCCGTTCACCGATCGCATAGTATGTCGGGTAACTAAAATAAGCCCTGCGAGGGTAGCCAGCAGGGCTTACGGTTTTGTTTGTTTGTCGACTGCAGGCAGCTGGCATACAACAAGGCAATAAGGTATAAGTCGATTTTATTTAAAAACATAACATATTTTCTCTCTTTTAAGAAAAACCATTTACATCCCATACGAGCCTTTGTAAATAACTGTTTGTAACACAACACCACTAGCAAGCAAGAGTCACTTCCGCGTTCCTGTAGTGAGCTTGGACCGCCTGTGGTCAGTATAGCTGCAAGCTCTAAGATACGTAATGACATGGCATATATTTCTAGTAAAATGGCAAACCAAATGTAAATAGTTTTGAATACAGTAAAAAAACTGCAACTAAGGACCTGGTTTTTAAGAACCTGTTAGGCTAAAATTTGCCAGTTAGGCCCCCTTTTATAGAAGAACCTGTTTGACCTAAAATTTGAAACAGGTTCGTATTTTCTACAATCTATAGAAAAAATTCTGTACACTTGGGCAAAAGGGCTTCAAAATGCAAGTGGTCAGTGCTTCAGTCCTTCTTCTCATAACACTATAAATTTAGTAGGCAGAAGGAATAAGCTGAATACCACTAAATACTCATAGCCACCATGCTTTTGTTTTCTTTGAGTTTGACTGGGTCCAATGTCGCGGTCGCGGGTCCAATGTCGCGGTCGCGGGTCTATTAGTCAAATTCGTTTTCTTCAGAAAATAAGAACCTATTTAAGAACCTTAATAATATACACGAAAAAATTACTTAATTCTGATTGGCTGAGAAAGGAGTGCAGCTCTTCTGTAACACGACTGCAAAATGTGTAACACGAGTGCAAACTTGTAACACGAGTGCAAATTACAAATGCTTTCTGATTGGCTGAAAACACAAAAGAAACCAACAAGAACCAATCAGATTAGAGATGTTTTAAGAACAAAAATTCAAGAAAATGGCCATGGTTTTCAGCAGACGACAGCGGGATTTAATTTTGTAAGCAAAACAACAATAGAAAAGTTAAAAATATTCCAAAAACCCGAACACAGTAAAAAGTACGTCTTTCTGGCTAAATGTATTGAAAATGCGTTGCTAAGAGAAAAATACTGTCAACAAAATCGAGGAAAATGAGCCAGAGAAACTAGAAAACAAGCTACTTATAACAGACTACGCTAAAGTAAAAAAATAAAGAACAAAAACGGTTGCAACCACACACAAACCATGACAGCTACAGAATGAACAAGGATAGAATTCCATGATAACAACAGGGATTTCAAGTCATGTACGTAATTTGTTGCTCTCTTTGAGTCTTGTGGAGCGAAGACCTCTATTAAAACATCCATGCGATGGTCTGTGTTTTTTTCTACCTCAGTAGCAAACGAAACCGAAAATTTAAACATCTGGTCCAAACTAAACCAATGGGCGAAAATACCACAACTCACATAATGAAAGTATCCGCAGCTGGTACTTGCCTTAAAGAAAGTGAGAAAAAAGTTTACGAATCATTGTACAAGAAAAACAACAGTCAGGATGCTGAAGAAGCAAAGATTGTAAGTTCAGAACATATCGTCAGTGTCACAGGTCACAGAGGTATAAATTTCCTTAACGAGCACGATGAAGCCGACTAAGAAGAGCTACGATGACTCTTGCAGTAGGCCAAATAAGATAATTAAAACTCCAGCGCTGATATAAAGCAAATATTATATAATACTGGCAGTTTCCGACATCACAACAATTGTGGCTCCACTCACCCATCGATGGCAGCGTCGAAGGAAAACAAATTGCCTCCTTCATTTTTGGGTTTTAAATCTCAAAAATTTGTTCATGAATCCGGCTATGATGAGGTCCCAGGAACAGACAATGATAAACAGTCGTTAAAAAACCTTAGCAAGTGTCTTTCATCTTTGGCTGCTCGAAGCGTTCTCCTGATTTCAAAACGGCAGTATACTGCTTGAAAACGCCGAGCTCTCATAATCGAGGATGAATTTAAAAACACTTACTTTTCCTGATTGTTGTAAACCAAGTTATCTTTAACCGGCTGGTGACCATATAAAAAAAATCCTTGCACATTTCCAAGTTCTCAGCTGAATGATTTTGAAAGCATTGGTCTTGAAAAAGTTTGAATTTGGCAAAGGTAGTAGTCTGTTTCAGCCAATCAGTTGAATGAACTAAAAACGCGCGCGCTGTCAAAATTTGTTGTTGTAGTTATGTTTTTCGTGTATATCATTAATAAGGAATCACATGATTTTTCTCGTGCAATTTGGAATAAATAAGCACTTGTAAATTTTTCAAAGACCACAAAGTGCACTCGCACTACGGGCTCGTGCACTTTTGTTGGTCTTTGAAAAATTTACTCGTGCTTATTTATTCCAAATTGCACTCGAAATCATGTGATTACCTATACAAATTGCCTAAATTTGTGCAAATTACAATTCATGTAAGAACCTGGTTAGGCTAGCTAATAGGCTAACTTAGTTGTGGGTTTGTACTCTATGAATTAAAGAGAATGGATGGCTATAAAGGGTTATAAAGGTGAAAGAGAGGAGAGAAGATATCGATCGACTGTCGGAAGTTGTTTCCTTGGTAATGATTATCTCGGTAACGACCAAACTAAATCAACTGACCAAAATCATGCATCTGAAAATTTGCATTTTATCAGAGGGTACAAAACATTGGGCGCTATTTTTTTGACATAATTGAAGCAAAACGTGACGTCATGCTGGTGGTGACGTCCTTTGGTGATGGTGACGTCATGGTGATGTCATGTTGATGTCATGCTAGTGAGCTTTCCTTTCTACCTCCCTTTCAGTCGGAGTTTTGTGTCCATGACAGTCTGATCTTTTCCCTTTTACAGATCTATATCTGGATTATTTCACAACTCCATACTTCATATTCCTCCGTGATTCTTTGAGCTACCTGACGCTTCTTGGCCTGAACTCTTACCTTTGTTTGACGCCTCCAACTATTGCCTTCAGTCGGGTGGAATGGGCCATTTTCGTTTTCTTTGTTGCACGTATATTGATGGAGATCGACCAGTTTATGGGCGCTAAAATAGCTGAGAAAAAAGCAACAAAGCAAAGATTGCTTCGTGGATCAACTTACGTAAATCTCCCATCACCACCCGAAAAAAGGGAAACTGCCAAGAGTTCATCAGCTAATCTCCTTAAGTGGTTCTCCAAATATTTCAGGTACATTCTGTCTCAAGCTGAAGACGAGAGACTAAATAGAAATTAACTGTGGAAGTTCTTGTCCACAGCAACAAATTATCCCCTAGCAAATTTTCTTATGAAAAAAAAAAGGATGTTCGTCGACTCGCTTAGGGGTGTAAATTACAGACTTTGGTCTCAATTGGGGTGTTGAGGGCAGAACACGATATTTTTTACCCATACATGTATCGCTTAGCGTGGTGCGTAAAGAATTGTCGTAAAACAAACCAAAGGTCATCTTACTGTTCTGAATACAAAATTCGATTTCAACATCTTTAGGACCATGGAATCACTCTCGCTCATACCTGTTTATCTGTTCTGGTACAGTCTTCTTAAGGAGTCAAATAAAGCCTTAACCGTTGCAAAGTCTATCGAAATCAGCCGGGGATACTAAAAAGAGCAGAAAAATTAAGGTAACATTTTCTGGAGATTCCAAAACAAAATGGCGTCAGCCATTTGATTTGCCAACCAGTGTTTTTGGTTTTCCCAAATAACGGTACGTTGTCCTAGTAACCTTAAGAGGCGACTCTGTCTTCATCCGGGAATTCAAGCGCGTCCCCAAGGCTTTTGTCCCTTAGAAAATGGAAGGGGCAGGCAAAAGGTATCCCATGAGGCAACTGAGATGTATTGCTTCAGTTTTTGCAAAGTGCAATCCGTTGTTTACGGAAGTTGGGGAATTCCGTGCGATGTGACCTAGAAATAAACCATACTGTTAAATCTTAAATTAAACCAGCCAGGGATACAATAAGTATGTTACCTACTTGTTTTCTGGCCCCCTCGGTTCCTTTATTGGGAGGTATTCAAGAAGACAATGCTCCGTATTTTTGCCTCATTTTGAATTTTTAGATGGGGGGCGATCTCCACAGTGAAAAGCTTTATAATTTAGAGCCTTTTGTATAACATACTACCCAAGTTCACCAGTCCGTAGCTTATATTGCATTGTGCGGACGTTTGTGAACACAGACTTCCGCAGAAAAAGAAATCTAAAATGGGCAGAAAGTCCGACATTTTGGTCGTCGTTTCGGTTGACTGGCTCCTGGCGATTGTTCTACTGATAAAGCTACACAAGAAACTCACTGTGTAGAGCTTAATTACATTGTATTGGGTTCTAATTTTTACATTTACATTATCTATTCGTAGCGATCTTTGGAACAGGCTTGACTTCATCATTGTCGTTACTTACGTGGTAACCTTTATTCTGCGCGTGTTCACTTGGGCGACATCCGCTGCAATTGCTGACAACAGGCCCTTAGCCATAGCTGGATGCCTTTATGGCTTTATCACTATGTTCCTCGCCCTACGAACCTTTGGTCACGTGATGGAATGTACGAGAGGAATGGGCCCCACACAAATTGCCTTGTTCTTTATTATTTGGGATGTGCTGGTAATATTTTGGCAGTTCCTGGCGACAATAGTGGCGTTTTCCTTGGTCATTACTAAGATCTTTGTATCTGAGAAATACTATCTGTCAAATGGGAAAACTCATGGTTCTCTGTAAGTACCGTAAATCATTAGTGGGTATCATGCATTTTATATATCCTCTTCCCTCCAAAGAAGTATTCGGGAAATAAATCGAAACAATTCGTGTAGTGAGTCTAACCCGCGAACGAGCTCTCTATTTGCAGGATATCGCACGAAGTCAACGCGAGCGGTACTTGAAATGAGACGTGGAAGCGAGGGGCAGAGAAAGAAAAGATTCCCACCCCTAGCGGCTTTGCTGCGCACTTGAGCGTCCTCTTACGGCTTGCTTTGCTCGCCACTTGAAATGGAAGTTTACCTACCGGCCTACATAAGCCTTGTATGCATTTTTTATAGACATAGGATGGGATCGTTTAAGCGCACCTCTTCCAGGTGCGTCATAGTTTCTGCGTTTTGAAACATTTAGCCTAACTTTTTCAAATTTGTTGATTTTAATACTTGTTAATCTCCTCCATTCTAAAGCGTTACAGTATCAAATCGGCAACAAATGTTCATCGTTCAGTTACCAAATAGAGCACTGTGAGATCCAATCGAGCGTATACAGCAGTTGTATTCTAGACTACTATAAACAGTAGCTCTGGACCAGTAAATCTCTGAGTTGTTTGAAACATTTTTTTAAAAAAGCCCATTCTTGTCAGCTATGAATTTTTTTCTTATTTAGTTTGCTGGAATAATTTTGTTAGGTTTCGTTCAGTTTTAAAATAATTGTGCACAAAGTAAAATA